TCCTATTGTTTTTTTAAAAGCAAACAACATGAATCTAATACTGAAATTTGGAGAACTATACTACTGATTACAAATACAAAGAATGCATATGATTATAGAAATTACAAAAACAATAGATCGAGAAGAGATTACCAAAATATATTTTCATCAATGATAATTGAAAATATATTTTCATCTATAACAATTTAAGTGCAACCAAATGAATGACATAATGAGAAAAACAAAACTCGGCGAAGGGTTTCAATGAATATAAATCTGTGATAGTTGTCATTTGCTAAGCTAGATTTTTTTTTTATCTAACTATGTGTGGCGAAAAAATTTAGTAGTGTTTGTTTAGTGATGAAAATTAGAGTGGCATAACACTCATTTTATAATGTCCAACTCTCCATGTAGCATTGTATCAACGTAGGTTAATCTTTTGAATATCACCTATAATTAATGGAGATTTACTGATTCGTATGAATACTATCTACTAATATATTTGAAAATTTAATATGTTTAGATTCATTAGAATAATTATAACTAATCAAATATTTTATACACGAAATAATGGTAAAAATTGAACTTCCCAATCATTTATTATCTATTTTTTGTTCTTATTTATTTGGTTTTCTTGTTAGATTTTATTTTCAAACTTTTACAAATTTTAGTTTCAATCTATTCATATAATATTTGGTAACAACATCCTATATTTTGGTAACGTCTGCTTGATTTTGTCTAGATAAATGATTTTTTTTTGCAATTCAGTTTTTAACTTTATAGTTGTAAGCATAACGTTATATTTAGTTTTGGATTTTTTCTGATAAGTAAGTTATTTGGTGAATATTTATAATATACAAATTGGTATTTTGGGTATTTAAATACGATTTCTTTTTTTTTTTATTTAAAATAACTATGGTTAATGTTTTGCAATGTATTCTAAATTTTATATAATCATATTAACTAAAATTGACAATTTCAGTGACAAATGCAGTAAACGGAGATTTGATTAACAAATTTCATATATAGAAGAAGAACAATTGAACATGTTCAAAGTTCTGTGTTATCGAAAAATTCAAGATTGAATCATATATGATTGTTCTCATTTGTTTAGGATTTCTAATATTTTAAAAAATATTGTCCAACGAAATATGCTCTATAATTTTGAATGCAAGCGTATATTTCTTAGAATTTTAATGAGTTGAAAAATATTTTTTAAAGTTTGTTACGTGTTTGGCAATAGAATTAAAGCCAACTAAAATAGGTATAGCAAATGAAATAGTGTTTGGCAAATGGT